CATTTTATGGCGTGCTTGTCTAAGTACATTCCACCTAGTGTCGGCTTGGCAGAAAGGAAACCGTGTCATTGTCGTGGGTCGTGGTCATTCATCTTATATTAAATATGCGTGTTCTGCACCGCTAGAAGAACATTCTGTTCTGTGAAGCATTTTAGAACCGCGGAACTTATTGCCATGTATCGACCACCTTGTCCTATTATCACTGTTACTAGAAGCCCAAAGAACGCGCGACAACTTTGTCTGTATCGAGGCGTTTATCCGGCGATTTATACACGTACGCATTGTATGCATTTTTTGCATCTGCTGCCATGGTGGTTGTGCTGCTGTTTAGCTTAAGCTTTTAGTCTTATTTGCATGTCTATTACTTGCGTGTAACGTTCTGCCAGTAGCTTTCTGATTGATCTGTTTTGCGTCGTTTTGTAGAACCGCTGTCCAGATTTCCCAGTTTCGGCCTCACTGTCCTATCATAGCTGTAGTACGGGACATTCGAGTGGCTCGTTATTTGCATTTGTACTATGGGGTATTCCCAGTAATAACGGGTGGTATGACTTTTGTTTTTCTTTTACTGTTATCTCGGCTCTTCCGTTTCGTTTGCTGTTGTTCGTTGCTTCCTGTATGTGCTTGTGGCGTATGACTGTGCCAGACGACCATCGTCGATCTCGTGGCTGATCGTTCTTTGTTTTACAGCGGAACGACATCCTGACTGGCCGACCGACGTTGACCAGCGCATCAACTACGGCATGATCCTCGGCAAACGACGCGGATTCATTCGACCTGGAGATATGCTGGTCGTCGTTACTGGCTGGAAGGCCGGAGCCGGCTTCACGAATACCTTACGAATCCATGTAGCTCCCGAAGACGACGAAATCTGATGTGAATTGACGGGCAGACACACATATACACGTTTAGCGTAGCACCTTGTTTGAACTCGTTTTATTATACCTCACTGAGCTTACATTTTCCGGCTTTTTTAGCTGCTACTTTTTGCAGTTTGTATTAGAGATTACTGTGATCAGTTTGAATACCGTACTTTTTAACCCTAGTTTAAATCTTGGTCATTTTTTCATTTCATCGTTTTTATCTGCAATTATCCGTCATAAGCCAACCTTATTTTGTTAGTGGGATTTTCATCTGCGTGACTGCTACTTTGTCGAAATAAACGTGTGTTGTATTTTTAAGACGTTATTTGCTTACGTTGCAAATCAGGCAGCATAACACGCGATAACTACTGGGGTTATTCTGTACCTAACCAAAATGCCGCACGTTTTCGAAACTCAGTGAAAAATTCGGTTTCCCTTTGCAGTGAGTATACCACAAAGCGGTCAACCATGAATGTCTAACAGATGCACATGGTTACTGTCACCAGTTTGTCATTCAGACGAAGTACAAATTGTAAAATCCGTTGTACGGTGGTACATGATTGCAAGAGGTTCCCTAGCATAAACCTGGCAGAAAAGCAATTATATTTTATACGAAGATATCCTGTCAGTAAATTGTCTTTTTGCATACAGCTGTTATTTACTGCAAATTACGATCATCTATCGTATTTTCATGGGTTTGACGATTCTGTTCATTTATCATACTTTGGTTGTGTGCTCCCCTAATGGCCTGATTTTAGGATCTCCGTTCGGTGTCTATATCTTTGCAATATCATTTGACGACGAGCATGCATCACATACTGCACTTCTCTCTTATTGTACTAATATTCGTCTTACGTTTTGCGAAGTTGCTAAATTACTTTAGATCTCTCTTTTGTATATTTAGTAGCGCGGCGGTTTTTTTCCACCCATTGGATTCACAACAGTACAATGAAACTTCGTTATTACGTGTGTCACTAACCCCCGGATGCAGGCATACGGCTGGTTTATTCACTTTCCCCACAATGATACTACTTGCATTACTCATAGACAACACTGTTGTAAAAGTTTATTTTGACCGTGATGTGCTTTGCAGCAGCTCTCTACAGTAAGCGATCGCATTTTGGCGATCGTCTATTTACGCCAGTACTATACTCGTAATTGGCTACTGAAGAGACACTTCTACAGCTACTTTGTGTATTGTCTTGAAGTTGTATTATTCACCCGACGTATCGGAGTTATGCATGAGCTTTAAGCACCTAAAGTGGGCTAGTTTAAAAACTGAATCACATTAGGTACTGTGTGTTTAAATCAGGGTGGATATTAATATATAAAGGGTTGTAATATGTTGTTATTTATTACTATTGTTACATAGCAGACACTTCTGTGGCTTTTAATTACTTCCCGCAACATGACATGGAATATTTATTATGCTTGATATTTGTTTCCCGCAGACCGCGTTATAACGGAGTTTTACTGAATTTACTGTAACAGTTAGTTTCTGGGGGTTTCAACATTCGCAAACGTAGGTTATGCCATAGGTTTGAAGTGCCTGACTGATTTCGCTAGCATTCCGTACGCTATAACCTCCCCAAATACTTCGGCCATTTTTGCTATGCAAGGTTACTGTGAGGTGAAATCTTTCCAAGATGAAACTCACTTTAACTCAACTATTAGCCACGTTTTGCCCCTCTCATGACTTCAAACGGTAGTCACAATCGATTTCTTATTCAGTCAGAAGAGTAAGTTGTACATTGGCGCACTTTATCGGTTGCTGCAACATTCTGAAAGCTACTCGGCATGGGGTGAGAGCAAAATCAGTGGTTAAAGCATTATGAAAAGGCAGTCGCGGTTGTACAAATTGAAACAGAAAATTAGGCGTGACGTAACGAAGTGAAAGTTAAGTATAATGAAGATGCCTTCCAGCCAACTGTTATTCACTTGTAAGGAGTGCTATTCACTAGACGTGGAGGGCTTGGGGGGGGGGTAAATACGCGCCATGTGTGTGGCGGCCCCTTTGACCTGCGTAAGAGTGATAGCTTAATATGATCATGGCGTCGAAAGGGTTGAGGAGTGAGCGCGAATTAATTCAATTCAATTGGAATGCCTGTAAAGCGTCTTGCATCGTTTTCGATGCAGGGGGATGAGAAAACGTACTCTAGATATTTGGTCAAGCATGTTGAACTGACTCTCTTTCGCCTTTGCTCAAATCAGCGCCGTTTTGAATTAAACGGTGGAACACTGCCTTGAATCACAGAGAAAAACATACAGCTGGCTTATGTTCCCCACAATTAATAAGGAACCACTCAGGTAACTATTCGTAGCGTTAACGGCATATGCACGTACGTTCAATTTTAAACATGGTTCTCTCGAAACACGACACGTTCGAGTAAATCTTAATACCTATGGTGGTGCATTATGCCAAAGACATCTTTGAAGCAATGAAAGTGATATTCATTATATTTCAGGCGACCGAAATCGCCTTCATTTCTCTCTGGTTTTTCGACGGATGAAAATTTGGTTAGATTTGCCTTGCACGCGTTTCAGCGGGAAACTTGCTTGACTGGGACGAAATCTGTTATTACCTACTTCCTGTGGTGCTTTTTCAGAACGAGTGAAAAGAATAGTTTGCCCGGAGTTAAGAACAGCATTGTCACAGGACATTAGAAGTCATCGATAGCGCAAACCCTTTCAAACTAGGCAAAATGCTTTCACGCTTGCATTCTTCAGGCAAATGTTTGGAGGTCTATATTTAGGTATTTACTCAATCACTATATATTTTGCAAAACGAACTTTCCGTTTGCAGTCGATGACTGCGCTTTAGCTGAAAAGATTCGAAATACGCACTGTCCATGCACAAAATGTCCACGAACAGTCTTACCCTTCGCCTGACTCTTAGCCTGATGGTTAACGTTTTTGTCATGCCAATTTGTCGTTTTGCGTTTTCATTTAATCATCACGGTTTAAAGTCAACCTTCTTTGAAGAAGTATGAATTGATATGCTGCCGAAAGAGATTTCAAGTAATTTAAAATCAGATATTGAAATGGTATGGTTACCGGCAAAATTGGAAAGTTGCACGTTAATAGCTATCCCGTAACATCGGAGTTACGTTTTATCTTTTAAGCGTTCAATCACTTATTTTCTTGTATAGAAATGGCTGGCATTAGCCGCTATCTTTCAATAAAATATATATAAATCGTCGTCGCAACGGTATAAAGCCCTGTCATACACGCTGCGTTAAC